AGTCAGCGATCTTATCGCCATTACGCCCAGCGTAATTCGTGTTTCAGCCCCCTATAAAAGGGTGTCGAGGGCAACCGACTTCTTTGCTCATTTATTCCCATTTTCTCGCGTTTTTGCATCGTTTTTCGTGCAAAAAATATCCCGAAGCTCCGGTATCATTCCCGAGCCCCAAAGCAAGTCCCGAGACCCCGAAGATCCCGAGAAGTGCGATTCCCGAGCCGAAGCTCTGCCCGCGAGGAGCCCGGTTTTTGTAAAGATCTTCCAGGTCTACCGAAGAATACTACTTCTACAAGTCGTAGTGTTGTCTGATCATCTTCTAATCAAGTGAGTGTGTGGTTACTTTCTTCTAACGCATAATTATGAAGTATTTTATACGAAATACGTGTTATGTGTATAATTTTGTTGTTATGTGTGTGAATATATATTCACTTTCTTCTATCTCATAGATCTGATTTATTCTCTATAAAATACGTGTTATGTGGGTGTGCATCATCTGTTATGTGGAATAGGTATTGAATGAGAATGCTATACAGGTTTTAAACTATGTATAAAAATATATATTTTTATCTGCTAATATGTTGGGTAGAACATGGGTAGATAGTTGATGTGTGATAAACATATGAGAGGCCCCGATGTTGTTGTTGTTGATCTAGTTATTCAGCGGAGTATGGATTAGACCAAGAGGTTAGTTTTAGATCCGGGAGTATGGATTAGGTAAATAGATAAAACTTGTTATTAGTCCGGGAGTATGGATTAAGACTAAGTTAATTGTCCCTAGTCTGGGAGTATGGATTGGGCACAGTTATTGATCTGGGAGTATGGATCAGATCAGGATTAAGGTATAGTTAATTGTCCTTATCCCGGGAGTATGGATTGGGTACAATTATTGATCCAGGAGTATGGATCAGATCAGGATGTTAGTTTTAGATCTGTGAGTATGGATCAAGGGAAAATGTTAGTTTTAGATCCATGAGTATGGATCAGGTGAAAAGGTTAGTTTTAGATCCTTGAGTATGGATCGGGTGAAGATAATAGTTTTAGATCCGTAAGTAGGGATCGGGTAAAGAGGAAAATTTTAGATTGAAAGTGAAAGAATACTTACAGTAACGACGTCCAACATCGATTTCCTCCATACTTGCACGTATACGCCACAACACCATTGTGTTTCAGAGACGAAGATATCACGATTAGGGTTTTCTTATATTGACTGTGAAATTTTTGTCTGGGTTTTCTCAACGGAAAGATGAAGTACTGAAAAAATGATCGCCTCTTCGTATACAACATGGCGGTAACTTAATAATATTAAAAAAAAAAAATACCCCTGCGTGCCTTGCACGTTGGGTGTTTTAACGGAGCAACTAGACGGAATGTTAAATGAGGGACCAGGCGGGTTACGAATTTTAACATTAGGGATCACCCGAGTTAAAAATTTTGCTCAGGGACTAGGCGTGCAGGTTACCCCAAACCACAAGGACCATCCGTGTAATTTACCCAATATATTATAATAAATGAAGGTTTTTTTTATCACTCACACTTTCATTCAAATTGTCAAATGTTATTTTGTGGTTATTTTGAATGAATTTTTATTCCACATGTCATTTTATGGTTTTCTATTTTATTAATTTCATATAGTAGTTAAATGCAATAATAAATGCATATTAATTTTCTTAATGAACTTTCCTTTTAATTTCAAAATTACCAAATTAAAGCTTTATTAATTTTCTCTATTTATTTATCCAAATTATTTATTTAAATTTAGAGAAAAAAAACACTTTAATTTTTATAATTTAATATTTTTCTTATAATTCAAACTTTTCAAATGTTTAGAATTTTATATTCACTTTTTTCTTTTAAATAAACTCATGTAATACATGGATCTTATACTTAATATACTTATACATGTAATGTATTTGTTGTAATAAATGTTATAGTAAATTGCAATGAATATGTTTTTTCCTTCCTTATTATTTTGAATTTTTATTTTAAAAAATATTTAATGTTACACTTTAATATTTAATATTTTTTTAATCAATCCGTGTAATACACGAGTTTAACACCTAGTAACTTAATAAAAGCTTGATTTAGGTTTTAATACATGGAGATAGAGATAGAGATATGGGGTTCGAAAAATTTAACTTGTTAACATACTAATGTCTCAAACTTTTATTTTGTATGAGCTCAACAAAATTTAGCTTGAAGGAAGTCAAGCCGAGTTTGAAATCTGATAACTTAATAAAAGCTTGATTTGTTAACAACTATCTGCAAGAGCTTAGAAATGATTGAACCATGACGTTATATATTTTTCTTTTTTTTGGAACCACTGAAATATAAATAATAAAAAAACACATCTCTAACAAGGACCTAGGGGGAAAATGAAAATATCAAAATACAAAAAAAGGGTTTTGAAGCTATAAATTTCAATTAGAACGAAAAGTATGGTTCCTCTTCACAACCCATCATAAAAAATCCTATATTTTTTGGTTTCTTCATACAAAACAAATAGTTATTCCTAAAGTGGTAGACACCACCACGTCGTTGCCACAATAGAATTAAGCACAACATTTTTAACCGGTGGAACATCAATCGAATTCAAGAATTGATTAAAAGCATCTATTGAAGCATATGCAACAAGTCAACGTGTCAACGAGCAATCTTCCTCAACATGATTTCTACGAGCCGCTAGGGACATTGATACCACGATCCAAAAGGTTGTCAAAGGTAAGCGATAGCTAACATATGAAATTACCAAAAATAATATTTTATAAATTACTAAATTATTTAAATTTAAAATATAAAACTTATTTCCCTTAAAAGCCATTTCTTATACCACTAACATCATTATGCAATTAAATTTAGAGATGTTTATAAAAATAACTTTTATGAATAAAATTAACCGAAGCAAAACGACTAAAATTTTAAAGTTTTAAAAAACGACTATATAGTTTGGAACTTTTTTTTTTACTATTTCGATTTTATATCAGTATCGCTACGACGTGACATAAAGGTCTTTCAGTATATAATCTGTCATGGCGGATGGAATACATTAGAAGTGGGGCACATGCCCCCAATAGCTAAAAATGTACATATAACTGCAGTTATTTAAAATTTTACTTTAAAACCCTTTATGTTTTTGCAAAAATTCGAAAAACGCCCCCCACAAAAAAATATTAGAATCGTCCTTGTAACTTGTTATATGAATTATTAGGAATAATAGAGCATGACATTCCAAACTGACTTCTCAAACGTTCTAGATTGTTCTTTATTCCATATAGAAATTGCGGACAAGTAGACAACATAATATAAATATGTATTTTGTTCTTTATATAGTTTAGAGTTTTATTCTTCTTGTTTTGTATTTCACTGCACCATTATTATTAAAAATGAGTTCCTATAATCATATTTTTAGAGTCCATTTCACATATTGTGATGTAGATTTAATCCAGACCCATCCCGGAAACTAATTAACTTGGATCTTTTAAAGGATTTTATGTCATGGTTGAAGGTAGTTGAACGATGACAATCCTATCGAAGTTGGTTTTTTGGATGCGACGGAGGCGATTTCCAACGACTTTTAAGTGTAAACGCACGATGGATATCTACAAGGAAATGAGTGGTTTGTGGTTCTTTGTGGGTGAAATTTTGATCAGAAGATTCCATCTACGGTGGTTCCAGCTAAAAAAACAGTAGCATATTGATGTTTAGTAAACACTAATGAACCTTGATGGTGCTTCCAATAGTCACCTCAACATGTTACCAACTAATATAATAATAATATAAAGTTGAACGAAAATTAATTTTTAAAGCTTTTATAGAGAAAACCATTAATTATCAATATATTCAATAGGTAACCTTTTTTTTGTGAGGAATGTTATGTAGCTAAAAGTACAAGTTTTCATCCATAATCCACAATGTAACAATGTATAAATTACATATAACACTTCTATTTTTTATAATACATCACTTACAACCCTCTATTTTGTAAATGTTACTTTCATCCCTTAACTTTTTCTAATTTGTAAATACATTTTATACCATTTTATTTTAAAATGTTACTTTCATTTTTTTAAATTTGAACTCTATAAAATATCATTATTGCTACTTGCATTTTCTAAACATTCGTATTTATCCCATATAGTATATATAGTTTGATTTTCTTTAATAACTTTTGTTCATTAACTTTAAAAAAATGATTTGCTTTTGTTATATATGTGTCATTATAAATTAAAGGTGGTCAACGTTTAAATGTATTCCAATTCGAGATTGTCTACGTTTCGATTAATTTTTTTTTTATGTTTTGGTGCTTATTTTATATACGCTTCTTACGTATGAGTCAGATCATATATAATACATTTTCTATTATTTGAATTTATTTCGTTAATTAAAAAATGTACATTGTTGCAATAAAAACATGTAAAAATCCGTAGCAAAGCGCGGGCTTAAATACAAGTGTATATATATATATATATATATATATATATATATATATATATATATATTCTTTGACTCATGACCATAGATTATGTCTGTACGTGTAGAGGGGCAGTGGTGGTTTATGTAGATCGGAAAAGCTACAAATACGCATTTGTAATGTCAAAAGCTATTCAGTAGTACTATATAGGGATAATGATTTGATAGGGTAAGATACTTTTTAGAATGTACACATTTAGTCCTTATTCTTTTTTTCTTGTAAAATAAACCCTTATACTTTATTAATATGTACACATTAGGTCATTTTCACCCGATTCTACAGGTTTTGCTGACGTGGAAGGGTTTATTTTACAAAAAAAAAAAAAAATGACTAAATGTGTACATTTCAAAAAGTATCTTACCCTATCAAGTCATTTCTCATTTCTTTTGTTTTGTTGAAATGAAATACCCAGGTGGCATCCATATATTCACAACGAGATTTTCCAACTTTTATTCATCATCAAAAGGAGGGAGAACCCCGATCTCCGGCGACTCCTTTGTGTGTTCCTACACATCACTAGTAGCAAGGAGGAATGATGGCAAAAACAACAAGGTCGAAGGGGGAGGCAGGAGGAAGTAAAGACGGTAGTTGGCGGCGAGGAGCTGCTCTGGTAGCCCCCTCGTCGATTCTTTCTTCTTTTTCTGGCAATATATCTCAAAGATGGAGGCAAGGAGAGACAGATTGGATAAACACAACAGGTAAAGGGTGTTTGGCTGTTGTTGTTCGATCGGAAGGAAGAGAGACGAGAAAGAGAAGGGTCGTCGCCCTTTTCTTGTTGCTGGAGGATCACCCACCTTCGGTGACAAGCTAATTAATTGTTATTTAGTGTCACTTGTGTTTCCACATCAGCAAAACCTGTAGAATCCGGTGAAAATGACCTAATGTGTACATATTAATAAAGTATAAGAGTTTATTTTACAAAAAAAAAAGAATAAGGACTAAATGTGTACATTTTAAAAAATATCTTACCCTATCAAGTCATCTTCCTTAAAAGAAAATTCGTATATAACCGGTATACCGGGTATAGCCGGTCACAAGGACTACATTGTTACGAAAAATAAAGTATAAGAGTTTATTTTACAAGAAAAAAAAAATAAAAATTAAATATGTACATTTCAAAAAATATTTTACCCTATAAAATGATTATCCCTAGTATATATCTCTTCGCTAGATCTTTTGAATATAAGTAAACATTTGTTTGATTAGGTTGTTCATCAATAACGTCGTTGGTATCAGCCTTTAAATATAAAAGGAAAACCAAAACTCACACGAGAGAATATCACTATTTATGGGTCATGTCAAAAGTTGGACGTGAATTTATCACGTCATGTACTCATAAGATGATTGTAACAAAATTTAATTAAATCTATTTTTTCTAGCTAGTTTGAAACAAAAATACATTTTAGACCAAAGTTTTAAAAGTTTACTAAAATTTCTCCTTTTATCATATTATAATAAATTGTTGATCTTATCCCTTTTGTTAGGTTGTCCTTGTCATGTCACGTGCCTATCATCCACAGTTTGGAGGTTTATCTCTTAATAAATACCAACAAACGCAATCTTCAACCCCACATCTATTCAGTGTGACTGAGAGTAAGATCAAGAGTAAGATGAAGAACGACGGGAAAAGTCTCAGATCCGGTGGAAAGTACGGCCAGGAAGCGCGCAAGGACAGGAAATCCGCCACCGGCATCAACGGATCTCCGAAGAAAGGAGGTCATGGAGGTAAGTTCACTTGGTCAGGCGATTCTAATTTCTCTCCGGCTGAATTAGGAGGATTTGATCGAGCTGTTAACGATGATGCCATCCATCCTAAGTCTAAATCTGATGATCTGGAGTAGATAGACAGCAGAGCTTTGATCGAGGAAGATTTCATCGCCACTTGTGATCGGATATGTAAATAGAGTATGGACGCTATTGGCTTACGAATAATAATTTTCCTTTTCTGTTATCGTATGATTTGATGATCTAGGGTTTATGTTCGAATCTATAGTTAATCGTCATCATGTTCTGATCTGATCTGATCTTCATTCCGTTTCTAATTTGTAGACGTGATTCTGAAAATATCAGTTGATGAATTCCAGAATTCCTTCACTATTCATCTTCCTGTAAGCTTATAATCGGATATGAGAAGATAATTTCGGGAAAATTGAGCTAAAAAATACTGATGCTTAATCTTGTACGTTGATGATTGAGCTTCAATAGATCAAACAGATCAGTGTATATATATATTTTTTCTATTTTTAATTTGTAGCGTGATTCTAAAATATACCACGTATCTATACAGAAACCAAAGTTATCAGCTATCTAACTTTATAAATATGTTAGAGAGAAAGATGGCTTAGATAAACATCATGATTTCAAGGCGATGTAATTTATTCAATGGGTGGGTCCTAACTAATAAATTGATCGCGTTTTCTGTTTTGTAGTTGATTTATAAATGTCTTTTGATGATTTGATTGTCAAATTTCAAAAAACATGAAATTAACGGAAATTATAAAAAAAAAAAAAAAAAAAAAGATTCTATTATGTTACAAGATGTTAACTTGTCGGCTTTATTTTCAATTAAAACCATAAACACATTTTACAACCCTTCATGATTAATGAAATTTGCTGGTGGGTAAAAAAAAATCAAAAAAGAAGATAACGTTACTTATTTAAGGTGGATCTAAAAAAAGACTTTTCACTCCTTAACTTTGAGTTATTTGGACTCGGTTCTTACTAAAATGGACTTTGGAAAGAAATTGTGCTTATGGATAAATGGAATTCTTAGATCCGGTTCTTTTTAGTTGATGAATATCCTTGCATTTCAAAATGAGTTAGATAAAGCGACTTTTTTTATCTATTTATTATTATTATTATTATTATTATTATTATTATTATTATTATTATTATTATTATTCATCATCGGGTATACATTATTATGGAATTGGCCATGAAAAAACATATTTTAAAAGGTAAGAGACTTCCTAATAAAGCCCGACGTCATCACATTTGATGTACGCCAACGATGTTTTGTTTATCGGAGGATGGCCAATCTTGAACTTTAATTGATCTCAAGAGAATCCTTAGGTGTTTTTATTAACATCCATTTTTAAAGGTTAATTTTATTAAAAAGCAAACTTTTTGGATTTGACATCAATAACTTGGAATTAGCTCTAATGGCAAATCTTTTTAATTGTGAATTTAGGTCTACTCCATTCACATATCTTTGGTGTCTATTATTGGGGCAAATATGAAGTTAAAAGACCGTATTTGGATCTCTCCAGAAATACTATGTTTCCATCTTTAAGGCTTCAAAGAAAGTCATTGGAACATTAGAAAAAACTAGGTGAATTTCTTATGGGTTGGAAATGAGGAAAATATCAAATGGGTGGTTTGGCAAAAAGTAATCGCAACAAACGAATTCGGAGGGTTAGGGATTGGGAGTTTACAGGGCATGAACCTTGCTTTGCTTACTGGTGGTGGATAACTAAATACGAAAGGGGTTGTTTTTGATCATAGACTATTTCAACCATTCATAACCACAATGGCCATGATAATCGAGTGTTAGCAAAAAAAAAAAAAAAAAAAAGTGAATCCTAGAACTTGGTATTGTATCTTAAATATTTATGAAGACTTCGCTGAATATGGAGTAGATGTTTCTAGACTTTAAAAAAAAAAGGTAAGAATTAATTGAAGGGGGTTGTTTGTTTTTCATTTTAAATCAACTTTTTGACTTTTAACTTTTTCGAAGCATAAAAACTAGCATTTGCAAAAATCACATATCCGTGATTTTTTGTATCTTTTTCAATTTTTAAGGTTGGAAAAACAAAATAAATCTCAAACACTTTTTAAATAACATCTTTTGTAAAAAAACCTTTTACAAAAAATACATTTATAAAAATAACTTTTCCCCTCAAAAAAGAATCTTAAACACCCCACTATGTTTTAGATGCTTCTAAACACAACAATCTAGGTAAAAGAAAAAACCACCAATCTCATTTTTTCTTCTAAAGCCCACAATTGGTCTTGAACCATGCTAATTCTAGCTTTACATGTTATTAGGTCTTAGATCATGAATAAAACATTTTAAAACTCATTCATCAATTCAAGTCTTAATAAGGGGTGGGGTAGTGGTGTAGCAAATATTTTATTTTAAGATAGGCCAAATAATATCTACATTCTAATGAACAAATCTTTTTTTTTTCTACTTGTTACATTTTCATTCAATTTGTCAAATGTCATTTTATAATTATTTTGAATTAATTTTCATTTCATATGTTATTTTATGTTTTTTCTATTTTATTAATTCCACATAGTATATAAATACAATAATAAATGCATTTTAATTTCTTTAATAAACTTTCATCTTAATTTCAAAATTACTAAATTAAAGCTTAATTTATTTCCTTTATTTATTTGTCTAAAATATTTGTTTAAATTTAGAGAAAAAAGACACCTTAATTTTTATAATTGAATATTTTTCTTAAAAATTCAAACTTTTCAAATGTTTAAAATTTTATATTTAGTATTTTTTTTAAACAAACTCATATAATACATGAGTCTCATACCTAGTATAAAATATGAACGAGTAGCAAAATTCTTCAAACGATAACAAAATGTAACTATATATGTATTTTTAATTAAATTATTTATTTAATTGCACATGTTATTGTCTTACATCATTAAAATAATTTAAAATGGAACCTAATTAACATAGATAATAATGTATTATCTTCTACTAATTCTAAGTTTTGAATGAAATTGCTATATCACAACCCTAATTCCTTTTATTTAATATATATATATATATATATATATATATATATATATATATATATATATATATATATATATATATATATATATATATATATATATATATAACGTTAATTTTTTGTGGATGGGTGAAGACCCATTATTGTCCTATATTGGCTACGCCACTGGGTGGGGGGAAGAAACATATTGTAAGAGTGTATTTTTAACCATTTTTACAATGTGAAGGTGATCTCATTACAAGAAGTAAATGCATCGTTATCGAAGATCTTCTGCAATCCAAGGTGCAAGCCTTTTATAGATGTTAATTTATACCATGACTATATGTTCATTGATCTTTATAAACCGTTTGTTTGTCTTCTCTTACATCAACGATAATCTATAGAAACTTATTCACCAAAATGACCACAATTTCACAAAATGAAAACATCCCGGATCTTTTGAAGTCGTATGTGCTTTCTCTACAAGACTACAACTATATATATATATATATATATATATATATATATATATATATATATATATATATATATATATATATATATATATATATATATATATATATATAAAAGATATGTAAAATAGGTAAAATCAACTACCATTTAATAATTTAATTGGATATACAAGGTCATCCAAGACAGTGGACAATATGGGCTACCACCCATGCCCTATCCTTCTAAGAAGCTGTAAAGTTTTCAGTCTTATACAATAAAAACCATGTAGAAAGAATTCATTTTTCCTATTTACCAAGCTTAAAATTCGTGAAGTACGTTTTCAACTAGTTTTGAACGAAGAAGTAAATTACTGAAAGTCTAAAATTTAAAATAAGATGGGAACGACACCAAATTAGGGGAATAAAAAAGAAATTGGAAATAAATTAAATCATCCTTATGACCCTATATAAGCAAGCAATGGTGGTGCATTATCCGATACTAGGTTCCTACAAATATAAATAAATGGTTTTTGTTCTTCAGTGTTGCCCTCAAAATTATATTCGATTATTTTTATTTTTGTTTTACATCTCCAATAGGAATTAATAGATTAAATATGGTTCAATTTTTAGATAAGGTTAATCATTTATGATGATATAACTCATTTTTATCATAATATGTTATTGATATGTGGTGATGTTTTTAAAGTTGTTTCAAATTTCATTTAGACTTGGATATGATAATAGGACAATGAACTTATGGTCGTTGTTTCACTTCATAGCTATTTTTTGGAGTCACTTTATAAGCAAATGGAAGAGACTTGAGAACTAACAGCTTCTTTTCATGTTTTTCAACAATTAAAACTTTATAAGCAAATGGGAGAGACTTAAGAACTAACAATTTCTTTTCATGTTTTTCAACAATAAAAAATAATAGATGATTTATAACATTCTATCTTCTTTTTTGTTTTAAGCTTAAAGACCAAACTCGTAGGAGAAGGTGGAATTGTGTAGAGCTAAATTTTTTTGGGGGAATGGAAGAAGGTCATAGGCGTATTCATTGGGTGAAATGGGATGTGATTTTAAGTTCTAGAGATAAAGGTGACCTTGATATTGATAGCTTGGATGCTTTCGATCTTGCTCTTGTGATAAGTTAATGTTTTATATTTGAATACTTTCTAGCCATGTAAAGTCATAAAGTTGGAACCTTTATGATTATGGAGGTTATTTGGGGTTAGATCTAAGATTTGGATGAAAGGCCTTAAGGGAATAAGCACGTAATGAGGAAATTGGGACCTGAGTGAGTACGATGGATGTACTGGAGATACGTAATGCGTACCATGTGTTGAACTCTGTAATTGGGGATGGGACTACGCCATGCGTAAAGATCGAGTATGTAGGGCGTACTCAGTATGATGTGGATTTTTGACTTTTTGAGCTTTGATTGTTGACCGTTGACTTTGACCAAGTTTAACTTTATGTCACTTAGGGTAATTTGGGTAGTAATTGGTTTATGGTTTAAGGTGTGGTCCTTTCTTTTACTGTATAAGTGATCTGTAGAGTTGATATTCAGAGTTTCGTTCTTTTCAGCTATCATCTTGGTTTAAGGTGAGTTTACTCACTATGCATACAGGTCGAAGGCACTAAAGCCGACCCATTTGTTGTGTTATATACTTGATGTAGGACTATTATATGATTAA